TCTTTACCGTCGTTGGCTTTGACGGCGTGGCTGTTGAGAGCCAGGTGTTGAGGGATCGTGGTCTCTCGGATGCGGTTATCTCTACGATGTTGCGGGCTCGCAAGCCTGTGTCACGACGGATTTACCTTCGGACTTGGAAGGCTTATTTTGCCTGGTGTGAGTCGGTGGGATTTCCGCCTCGTTTGTTTTCAGTTGCCAGGATCCTCGCCTTCTTACAGCGGGGTGTGGATCAGGGCTTGGCCTTGAGTACGATCAAGGGCCAGATTTCGGCCTTGGCGGTCCTTTTTCAACGGCCGATAGCTTCCAATGCTTTCGTTCGCACTTTTGTGCAGGGGGTTACACGTATCGTTCCCCCTGTTCGCTCCCCGTTGCCGCCGTGGGATTTGAATCTGGTAATCTGTGTTGCAGGAATCTCCCTTTGAGCCTCTGCCTGACATTCCAATTCTGACTCTATCTCAAAAAGTGGCCTTTTTGTTGGTGGTCACCTCGATCCGCAGGGTCTCGAAATTGGCGGCCCTCTCTTGCTCGTCCCCGTTGCTGGTCCTGCATCGGGACAAGGTGGTTCTACGGCCTCGGCCGTCTTTCCTGCCGAAGGTAGTTTCGGCTTTCCATCTCAATGAGGACATTGTCCTGCCTTCCTTGTGTCCGCAGCCTGTCCACAGGAAGGAGAAGGCGCTGCACTGTCTGGACGTGGTCCGCGCCATCCGTGTTTATCTGAGTGCTACGGCTGCGTTTCGGGAATCGGATTCCCTGTTTGTCGTTGCAGATGGCCCTCGGAAGGGCCGGGCTGCCTCGTCGGCCACCATCTCTCGATGGATTCGCGACACGGTCTCTCAGGCGTATGCTATTAAGGGGCGTGAGCCTCCTTTTTCTGTTACGGCCCATTCTACAAGGGCTGTTGGGGCATCTTGGGCTTTTCGTCATGGTGCCTCCGTTTCTCAGGTCTGTAAGGCCGCGACTTGGTCTTCTGTTCACACCTTTGCCAAGTTTTATAAGGTGGATGTTTTGGCATCTGCGGATGCTGGTTTGGGGCGCAAAGTGTTGCAGGCGGCCGTTTGAGGGGATTTTTTTGTTTTAAGTTGGGTTTGTTGTTTCTGTTGGCCCACCCCTCTTTTTTGGTACTGCTCTGTGACGTCCCTACAGTACAGGATCTCCGATCTGTTCCCTGTGTCCTTCAATGAACGGGAGAGAAAATAGGATTTTGGTACTCACCGTAAAATCCTTTTCTCTCCGTTCATTGAAGGACACAGGGCCCGCCCCTCTATGTGGGTGTGTACTCCTTTACTGCTTGTTACTAAACTGGAGACTTGTCAGCAGGTGGGGGGTTTGGCCACCGGCAGGGGCCGCCCCTAGGCTGTAATTGGTCTTTAGTTTTGTGCCTAGCGTCCTTCTCCTGCAGGTGGCGATATTACCCTACAGTACATGATCTCCGATCTGTTCCCTGTGTCCTTCAATGAACGGAGAGAAAAGGATTTTACGGTGAGTACCAAAATCCTATTTTTGCAGCAAATAAGTTAAGGTTAGCATGGCCACCAAAATTGATATTGCTCTAGACAGTGCACTGAGTTGCGCTCACCAGCCACGGATGCTCAGACTAAACTCAGGATATTTTCCTTCCCACAGCAAACATACTCCGCTGAAGTAACAGGGCTTAAAATGCACAGCTGAACATCAGATGATTAAGCCCCTACCAGAGATGAATACATCTAAGAGGATGGGTCATGTCTTGCAGGATTTACAGTGCATTGTAAGCTTAGTTACTGCTAGGATGTATTTGATTCACCAAAAAAATTTTTTTTTTTAGTGGCAGGCAGCTTCAATGTTTCTTGCTTGCATTTTAAAGTGTATTTCCACTTTCGGAGTCAAATTGAGATAACACCTATTGTATAGGTGCTTAGTTTAACGCTGGGTCCAACCACCAGTCCACTGCACAATGGAGCACTGACTGGGAAAGGGAGAAAAGTCACAAGAAGGCAATCAATTGTACTGCCGTGCTAACAGGGAACATGCTGAGGGGAGGGGAGAGCCGAGTGGCAGAGAGGTAATTGGTGGGTTGCTTCTCAGTTCATTATCCTGCCACAGGCTGGGGGATCAACAAGACCTGTAAGTGTTGACTGCAGAAGAAAAAAAAATCAGTTTTCCTGCCCTCGCAGACAGGATTGTGTGAACATCAGGACTGGACAGATACAAATCCTTTGGCAGTGTTTGTCGGGTCTAATATGTGGTGAATGGAAGTATAACCTCGGAAGTCAAGTTTATATTGGGCCAGTGGGACGATCCTTGCCTGCAATAAGAAAAAGGAACTGTGCATGAATTCTGTGATTAGTTCTGGCATTAAGGAGATAAGCGAGGAGTGTGTGTTCAGTGGTGGAAGTGACACGGATAGAGCACGAATTGGAAGTGATTGCCATCTTTTCACAGAGCTCTGGTCTTTATTGAATGTGAAGCAAGTGTGTGAAGTGTTTCACCAAGTTGAGCAACACTTCTACATTTACGGTGGATTATAAGTGGACACTATTTAGATTGTTTATTTTCACACATTGAGTATATGTATTTCCAACCCCAATTCCAAAAAAAGTTGGGACGCTGTGTAAAATCTTCATAAAAATAGAATTAAATTATCTGCAAATCTCATAAACCCACATGTATTCACAATAGAAAACATGAAATATAAACTGAGAATATGTACCATTTTAAGAAATAAGATAATTTTTTAAACAATGGCAGCAACACGTCTCACAAATGTTGGGAAAGTAAGTGGTACTTACAAGGAAGAGCAACTAATTAGATTAACAGGTCAGTAACATGATTGGGTATAAAAAAAGTATCTCAGAGAGTCAGAGTGTCTCGGGAATTAAGGATGGGCAGAGGTTCACCAATCTGTGAAAAGCTGCATCTAAAAATTGTCGAACAATTTCAGAATAATGTTCCTCAAAGTAAAATTGCAAAGATTTTAAATATATCATCATCTGCAGTACATAATATCATTAGAAGATTCTGGGAATCTGGAAAAATCTCTGTGTGCAAGGGACAAGGTCGAAACGCAATATTGGATGCCCGTGATGTTCGGGTCAGATGATTCTGTGATGGACATCACTGCATGGATTCAGGAATACTTAAAAAAACACATTGTCTGTGGACACAGCTCGCCGTGCCATCCAAAAATTAAAGTTAAAGCTCCATCATGCAAAGAAGAAGCCATATCTGAGCATGATCCAGAACAGCTTGTCATCAGCACTCAAAAGCCTTGCTTTCTGATGGTATGGGGGTGCATTCGTGCTTATGGAATGGGCAGCCTGCACATCTGGAAAGTCACCATCAATGCTGAAAGATAGCAGCAAATGCACCCATCCAGACAACGTCATTTTCAGGGAAGGCCTTGCATATTTCAGTAGGACAATGCTAAACTGCAAACTGCATCTATGCCAAAGCAAGGCTTTGTAGTAAAAGAGCTGAAGCTGGATATATCCAGCAGATATCCAGCTTCAGCGATTCTCTGTCTCCTGCGCTGCATAAAATTATGGCCATTTAGTGTCATGAGTGCCATTTCCTGCAGCATTGTT